TTCCTATTTATCTTTACAGTATAGCCACACCAATTTCCAGCAATTGCATTAATTGCCCTTATAGCTGAATTAAGATCTGACGTTACCTTAGCACGAGACTTGAAGCCAAAGAGTAATAGGGATTGATCCAAAACCTCTATAAACCTTTTATAGGATCGTGTAAATGATTCTGATACAGTATCACCAGAAAGAATATGCTTGTCATCAATGCCAGTAAAGCCTAATACTTGAAAGAGTTCCTTTATAACCTTCCAATGATTTGCCGAATAAGTTTTTCGTAAGTCTTCTGCTACAGATTTTTCAAAATTATTTTCAGCTTTAAAACAGGTATCCTCCCACTGTGCAAAGTCTTTAGCAACTAAACCTTCTATTGCACTATTTTCATCGCATCCTTGTCTCCGAAGGTGAGATAAGCGCAGAAAATGTTTTCGAGGTTCAGGTGGGCTAAAACGTTCTACGAACTTCTTTTTGCAAAGATTATCCCAGTCATCATTACTCATATCTTTACAGCTATAAATATTTCGCATGTAGAATCGTTTAAGTGCCATAGTATCTGTGATAGAGCGTTCTTGATCAAACTTAAGACTTTCAGCTTCTTCAGGAATAAGGTTCCGGGAAATAGCAACTGCATTGAAATCTGTTTCTTTGATAACTAATGCTTCAACCTTAACTTCATTACGAACCTTTTTACGATTTCCTATAATTCCTCGGCTCTCATCCATTTTTATTAGTTGGAGAAAAGCGCCAGTACTGGCTATAAGACTACAAAGCTTCTCTATAAAATATCTCGCGGAAAGGCGTTTCTGATGCTCAACTTCAATGAATGTTATTACAGCTGGGGATTGATCAATTTCATAAGAAACAGCATTGCTATCCCATTCACGATGTCCCTTTATTGCTGTAGGTAAATTATTAGGTCGAGCACTTTCAAGTTCTGCTCGAATATTTTCATGACCTGGTGGTCGAAAAGGTTCATTAGAATTTTTCTGATAGAATACAGAAATAATACGACGAGGACAATCACGAATTCGATAAAGCATTTGTGCAAGAGCCTCAACATGAACTGGAGTGGCGATATTTGTAATAGCTATAACTATATCGAAGTGGCCTGTAACTTCGAATGATATTCCAGCCTCTACGGTATTTGTATAGGCTATGCAGTTAAGCTCACCCCAAGCAATATTAATATCAGAGAAGTCTTTTTGTCTCTGCTTCCCATCCATATCTCCATAGTATGCACGGGCTCTAATAGGCGAATTATCAGGTTTAGATAATTTAGATGCTTTTTCCACTAACGCTCTAGCCATCACTGCTCCAGTAGATACGAATGCTACGCGTTTGCCCTGTTTCAAAAGATCATATCCTATTCGCATGACTTCAGCTCCGCTATTCGGATCGTAAATAAACTCAACTGTCTCGCCTATACGAGGCTGGTACTTATTAATGACTACATGAATATTTTCACCACGATAAACCTGGAGAAAGGTTAGTGTTGATGTATTTGCAAAGGCGTCCATAGCCAAAACATGTCTCGCAGATCTTAATACATCACGTATTGCATTCTCAGATTCCCGTGCATTGGTACCGCTAGACATTTGACGCATAATAGCATTGACTTCATCGAGAATAGCTACAAATGGACGGGCTGTGAACTCTATACGGAAAAGACTCTCAACCTGAATTATGATAATATTCCACTCATTTATAGATAAGTCTCCTTGTATATTTTGGTAATTGCAAATTCGAAAACCAGATGCTTTTAGCTCATCAAGTTTCGTTTTTGATTCATTGCTAAGAGACTTTCGATAAGAAACCCAGATATAACATGGTAAAGAAGAGATATCATACACCTTATCCTTCAATGCCATAATAATCTCTCTTAACGTAGTGGTTTTCCATGTTCCAGGAGGAGAACGAATAAGTGTTGTCGTTTTCTCAGTACTCAAGAAATCAGGATATACTTCTGGAACATCCCTTAATTTTTCTACATTAATCATTGTTTCTGATAATCTTACAAGAGGGCGTGGATTTGATATAGCATCACCTATTCTTTCGACTATTCCTCTCTTAGGTTTTGCAGAAATTTCGGTTGCTTTTCCAAACACTAATCCCCTATGATCTGGTTTATAGTTTTTTTGCCGATAACATTTGAGTATAAAGCATCCGTTACTCTGAAGAAAGCCATATAACTGATCCCTTTCATGTTTGATTTCGCAAATAGGACATGTTTCATATGACTTTGCTTGGAAG